AAAAAATGTATATTTTTTTATACCTTTTTGTATATCTGTATCTTACTATTATGTTACTAACATGTAAGATGAATATCAGAATAGTATTAGGAAACAAAAGGTATATCATTATGTATCCAAAATCTATCTTTTATCTTACCCTAATACTGATATCTGTTAGTTTACCATTATTTTTTTCTGATATGCATATCGGGTAAATAACGGGTCAATAAAAATATATTCTGTTATTTAACCTTTATTCATATATTCGACCTGTGTATATGATAGCACCAAGTATGAAGTTTTGGTAGTTGCATATTGCTTGGAGAGTAGAGAGCAAAAATATTAACAAAATCTTTGGCCCAATCTATAATGAGACCCTAAATAAAAATGGTAACAAATATTTAATATCTAGAATATGTGGAAAATGTATAAGCTTTAATGTTTATTATATCTGAAGTTCAGAACAGAATTTATTTGTAAAGGAGTCTTTACGAGTGGCCACGTATATTTTAAGAAACTTGTAAAATACTTCACATAAACGTTTATTGCCGATGTCCTGCTTTTTTTTATATGTGCTATAAGGTCATCAAAAACAAAAATAATAACCTTCATGATATTTCACAAGTCATCAGCAGTCATACGTCCCATATCATATCCATGTTTCATTATTTTAAGTCCATGGAATCTAGGAATCTCCGCCAAGTGTTGTTCAAAGGTTTAAACAACCTTTTTTTCACATTGCTCAGTTAAAAGTTTTTTTGTATAAGTTAGCATATACTTAAACAAACCAAGATCTAGTACATGCATTCGATCTGGCACTGTTGCTTGGTAAATATTAAAATTTCTAATTAATTAGAACATTGTTAGTTATATATTTAACAATTAATACTAAAATTTCAATTTATACCTTATTTGCCAGAATATATTTCGTTCTTCATGAATCGAATTTTCTTGAGCTAGACCGGCCTTTATTGTCTGTTCCATATTCTGATTATTTCTTAGCAAAATTTTATTTGAATTTAGATCTGGATTATTCAGATGATTTTTCGGTACCAGGCAAGTATTACATGGTTTTTGTGCTGAATATGATCGATAAATGTTCATAAACATATTAGCCTCAACCATATCAGCTAAGATTACTGAAATTCATGAAATGAAGGTGATTACGTTTTGTCGAACTACAAAATATAGATCTGGTTCATTAACTATAGGATTTAAAAGAATCAATAGGCATTGTTGAAAAACGGATCTTTGCAATTGTCTAAAACTTTCAGAATGGGCAGTATTTAAATCTTTGGCTTTTAATATTGGTAAATATCCAATTAGTGCCTTTGATTCTGGTTTATTTCTCTGAAAGTTTGGAATATTGCCAAGAGATAGGAATATTGGGTGTCCAGAAGATTTTCCCATATGGTCTAAGGTCATAGTATCAGAGTAGAGAATTATCGAAAGTATGTGTTTGTCAGGAAATATGTATGATTCTTCTTGCCTCCACTAGTCACAATTATATTGCTCTCCAAAGGTTTGATGTTTTATTCCATTTATTGTTTCACTGCTTTCAACATAGTTTAATTGCAGTTCTTTATTAATACTATCAACTACTAATAATGATTTAATAGCTTGAATTATTGGCCAATAATAGAGTGTATATTCGATATCTTGGAAGGTTGTAACTACAATTTCCTTAAATATTGTGTATTGAATATCCGTGTTATTCAAAAATTCTTTCCTGGCATGCATTGATAAAGGCAAAGGTGATTTTTTCAAATTTGAATATTTATTGAAAAAATATATAAAAGCATTAGCAGCCTTATCTGAAAGCTGATATTTTGTAGTAATCTCCATAAATTCTCAATAAGCATCACTGGGCCATTGTGTAATTCACGATAAGCATCTTTAAATGACGCTCCCTTCGAGTCTTCATTAATTGGCACGTTCTCAAATTCTAATTCATTACTTTCAATAGGTTGATAATTGGATAAGCTTGTTCAGAATAATCTGGTTGATTCAAAGAAAGTTCAGGATCGAAAGGATCGGGGTCTATTGTTTGTGATATTTCTTGGTTCTAAATTTAAAAACGTGATTAAAAATTGATATTGACTTTCATATTAAAAACCTTAACCATTATTTACCCATAGATCATCATTAGGATATTTTGGCATATTCCAAATAGTATCATCATTAGGGTCTTCTGGCATATTCCAAATAGTATCATTAGGATCCTTTGGCATGTTCCAAATAGTATCATCAAGAGCATACGGCTGCCAAGAAGTTGATCTCAGTGTGGATGTACTTTCAGGCATTTTCAGATGTTTTTGAGATGTGTGTTGCGACAAAGCATAAAGTTTGGAAAATTCTTTATTACAATAATAACATTGCCAGCGCATATTGAATATATTTTGTATAAATAAAAGAGCAACTTAACAAAAACTTAAGTTTCTAGTAAAATATTTTTAGGTTTATAGTTATTTCATTTGCTCTGCCGCGTTTTTATAATTTTCTTACCATTATCAAGTGTCTAATATAAAAAACTATGTCTAAAATAAAATGTATCATAAATAGGATGTTCTTGTTCTTTCACAAAGATTTCTTTGATTAAATATAATTGATTTAAATGGAGTATAATCTCTATTTCTGCCAAATTATACAAAGAGAATATACAAAAACTTCGAGTATATTAAATAAAATGTAATTTTACATTTATCTGTTTGTCTTAATCCTTTATTTATTGAATATAATTCTGAATAAGTCATATAAAGAACATTATAAAGAGCATTTATCATGCGGTTTTATTTTTAATATTTTAACAAAGATTTCTTTAATTCAAATATAATTGAATTTTCCCACAGTTATACAGTATTATGCATAATTTACTCTTGGGGTGCAGATATATTTAACGAAACAAGGTTGTAATTAAGTCATAACCTAATTATATACCTCAATATAAAAAATCTGGTTTAAAGTAGGTCGTAACCAGTGATGATAATATGCCTGCAACTCTAGTTATATTATGGAACTGAGTGCTTATGTGTCGAGCTCTATTCTATTAAAAAAAAATTTAATTAACTTACAAAGAGCAAGTATCAAGAGCAATTTTACGATATTCCAATTTATATAACGTTAATAAATTAAAATTATTGACAATAAAATATGCAGTATAATAAATAAATACTGATTATATTTATTGCACTTATTTAAGGATATTTTTCTAGTGTAATGGTACAGTATACTTACGTAATTTATGTAAAAGGGAAAATACAAAAGTGAGTGATCGTTAAACCTGTATTTGACAGATTTTCGAACTAAAATAGGTAGTATTTTTTTAACGACAGGTTGTAACTTGAAAAAAATTGGTGTTGAATTAGCGAAATTAATTTCTTAATTTTAATTACATGGTAGAGATCACATAATAACAATAATAACGCGTTATTTCTTTCAATATTAGATATTATATGAGTTTCTTTCTAATTCTTTAATTACACAATTGAACAAACGACACTTCTTACAATTGGACTTTGTCCAAAACAGGATTGGAGTTGATTTCGAAATAATTAGAATTATTGAATTTTGTAAATCTTATGAATCCCACATTTTATGTACTATTGTGAAGACAATGGCAATACGTATGTGGGTTTCCTAGAATTCACAAAATTCAATAATTGCATTATTGCTAAAGTAGCGATAAATACTCAACATTTAACTGACAAATATTTTAGATTTTATATCATAGAAATCGATTCTATCACCCTTTATAAAATAATAAAATTTAAATATATATGTATGTGTACATGTTTATTTTCATCTTCACGTAACCCTTCACATAACCTTTTACGCAAGTTTCTCATTCGCAGATTTTTTAAAAAGCTTAGATTTAATATCTGACGAAGATTCTTTGAAGAAACTTTCAATTAATCGAGGTTCCTTTGAAAAAATAGATGATCAAGATGATTGTAAGTAGATGTTTGAATTGGTTATAGTTTTTAATTTGCATTTATACTTATAATGATATACTGTACCTCCCGTCCAGATCGTCCAGATTCTCCTGAACAAAAGATATGTGCTAGTAATTCTAGCAATTATTCTTTACAAGAGTTTAGTATTGGTTTTCATAAAAAAAAGCATAGAAAGTGCTTTAATTTTTCCCCTAAATTCCATTCTTCCAAGCATCTTTATGGTAGATCTCGTTCTGATTCTTCCCAACAAGAATGTACTAGTAGTTCTAGCAATTATTCCCAAGAGTCTGATAATGGTTCTCATGAAGGAAAGCGGAGTGGTCCTACATCTCTACAAAAAAGTGGTAACAAGCGTCATAAGTCTTCCTCTCATCATAGTAAACCCCATGCACAAAGCCTTATTAGACATCAAAAACAACAAACTAAATTGCTCCAAATCCAAACGTCCCAAGCCAAGGCATCCCAAAGTGGGACCAAAATGCCCAGGCCAAGGTACCCCAAAGTGGGACCAATTATTATAGTCCAATGGCACCATCATCTGAAGGTATGAATTGCACTGGTCAAAATTGAAAATTTTAATATGTTGAATGTCAATATTCGAATACACACAAACTGTGCCATTTAATATATCACATGATTCACAAACATCCATGTCCACAAAATCATTGAATGGTAAATCGAATATATATTGTATATATTTAAAATTTTCAATTTTGGCTAGTATCATTGAGTATTGTTAAATGCTTTTAATAATGACATTAATTGATTTTTTTTTTAGAATGTCATCATCAAATTGATGAACAATTATTTCGACAGAACAAACAAATATATTTGATATTACTAAAGAATAGCGACGATATAAATGAGCTTAAAAATGAACTCAAACAACAAAAAGCTAAACAAGAAAATGAGTTCTTACCTCGAGCATTGGATGTAAGTATTTTTTTCGCTAGCAAAGTAATGTCGCAAAAATTGGTAGTCTTGTGACTAATCCAACAATGATTCTTTTATATTCTAAATTTTGATTTTTGCATTAATGAAGTAGTGACAATGCATCTAAATTTTGTATTAAAAACTTTTTAAGACTAGTTTTTATAGCAAATTTATGAGTTTTTTGCGATTTTTTTTTTGGAGTTATATTTTTTTTACTTTAAGATTGTATGTTACATATTTCTTATATTGAATAAAAATTGCGGGATTGCCAAATTTTCATTTTTTCTAGCAATTGAAATAAAACATACTGCATATTTAGTTTATATCAATTTGATTTTTAATAGTCCATTTTTGGAGGAGTTATAAAGCATCTTTTTCCAGAAACCCTCTATCCAATACAAGATGATTTAAAAAACACATTAAAAGCATACTTGGAAGACAAATATCAAGATGTGTTGACTAACCTCAGTTCTACTCAATTTCATAACCATTTTCATAGTGAATGGTTTAGTCTGATATATATTTATATGTTATTAATAATTGTGTATAGTGTACCTAACAACACGCGATGAAAAAGTAGAAACTTTTAAAAAACTATTCTCAACTTTTACACTATAAATTGGAAATGTGTCACGTGATTGTTGTATAGAATACATATTTATTTAATATAATTTAGATATATTTTATAATAAAACATTTGACTCACTTCAGGAGTGGTTTATATATTTTATTATTGTTTGGATCACTATTAACAACTTTTAGATTGCAAACATACTAAAATTTCTTATTTTATCAATAACTATTATTAAAAATAAAAAATATCCGAAGCATGGCGCTGTCTAACATTAGAAAGGCAACATTTCGTGTATTTGGCATGGAAAAGTTGCCAAAACTAAAAAACAATTCTTCTAATGCCGATATTGTCATGTGGAAGACCAACCCAAAAGTATCAGAGTGCTTTAATTCACTTTTCCAACTTGATGATTATGGAACATACTGGGTTGCTGTAATTGCATAATGTGTGTTTAACGAAGCATCTGTCCCTCAACTTACGAATGCACACTATGCATTTACTCTTGCAGTCTGCGATATTCTTCTTAACCCCGCTTCAAAAGGAATTGCATGCACTGAAAACCAAATAAAACAAAGAGTGGAAAAGTATATCGTAAGTAAAGATTGGGGCAATTACTTCACTAGCAGTCATTTTATTGACAAGTAATTTAACTGACATTACTTAGATGCATTTTATTAGTATACTTATTTTGTAAATTGCCATGTTATATGATGTCGGTTAATATCATCCTTGCGTAAATTGCATTAATCTCACACGAAATGAATTTTTATTAAGAAAATCTTAGCAATCAAATACAGTATAAGTGCTGTCAATAGAAAACCTTTATCGGGCTTTTAATGTTCAATTGGCTTTCTGCAAGCTATCTATGGGCAATCTATTTCGATGATAGACTGTCCATAGACGGTATACAAAGCTAACTGAACATTGAAAGCCCAGTTTTCTATTGAAAGCACTCATATAAAAAAACGATTAGAGCTATCACAAAAATCTATAATCTGCTGAATTTATGAAGCACCCATGTGTGGGAAAGAAATAAAAAAAATTGGTATCACTTCACATATTAGGCAAAGTTGTATAATTTGTAAAATGTATGCTAGTTTTACCTAATGCAAGATACTGTTCTTTATGATAATTTTTTAGCATGATTTTGAAAAAAATGATGCCCTATCTCAAGAATCCGTGAAAATTATTGCCGCAGAAGAAACAGGTGAAAATGAAAATATAGATACTACAATCACAATTGAAACCCAAGAGCAAACAATCATGGAAAATATATTGAATTCAAGAAAAATTAATGATGAACTCTTTGGTGTTAATTTTGATTAAAAAAGTATATATATATATATATACATATTAAAATTTATTAAGACTAAGTAGTTAGATAATTAGAATAGAATCAATAAGGATATACGCTTTTTTTTTTTATAGGTCATTTTACTTTTTTTTTTTGCAATTAGCATCTAATCCGCTTGCTAGATATTCATTAAACCTCTATGGCATCGTGAATTCAAATCGTTAGTTTCTAGTTGACAACTAGTTTAATAGTTGGTTACATAATAAATTTAAAGCGTGAGATTCTTCCAGCCAATCAGAATGGTTTGAAATGATACAGAAAACACAAGATTATTTATTATGCCAATCAAATTTATTGAAAACATGTGACTATTAGTTGCAACTTAAGTTGGCAACTAATCTGATTGGAAAAATTTTAATTCATTACAATGGCATGTTAGAAGGGTTACCATTCTCAAGTTAATATTTTACATATATACAATAATACAATATATGATACTACAGTTTCTAACAGCTACAAATTCAAGACTTCATTTTGATAACATAGAAATAGCTTAATAATTATAGGGTTTCGTCAGATATAGCATTGCATTTCGTTTTTCGTCAGGAAATTTGGGGTTTCATTCATTGTTAGACGAAATCTGAAGACGTAGCGACGACTAACTTGATTTAATTTGGCTTATATAGAAGATAGTATTCTTTTTTTTTGTGTTAAACTGTTATACAAAGCTTCTGCTATTAAGTGATGCGAAAACAACAAACGAAACACTCAATAAAAGAGCTTTTTTAGTCTCAACGAAATAAATATCTATATAGGTTTGCTGTTATTTGTTTTATTATGATAAAGAAGCATAAATGATATAAATAAAATACAACTTATTTGAAATTCCACAAATTTACAAAATTCAGGTCTAACCCGATCCGATTTTAGCAACACTAGTCGAAATATTGTGCCATCTCGATAAACACCTTTCTTGATTCTCTTTGCGTATATCTGAACTTCACCCTTGGCATCAGAAATATCAAATATCAAAAGAACATCTACTTTTACCTAAATCTAGAACCGAATGACGCCCAAAGCTTGAGGTGTATTACGTGTAATGATGACCAAAAGCTTCCTTTTAGTATTAAAGGAATACACATGTAAAGAAATTAACGCACGTTTTCATAAGTGCATCTGCTAATGTTTTCCTCATTAAGATCTAAAATAATAATTCGAAAATTTTAAAATGATAAATGCTATTTTTACAAAGTGCATCTGATAATACTCTTCTTGATTCATATTAAATAGTATATTTCGTTCAAGCATAATTCTTTAAGTCTCTTGCTCGTAAAACCATTATAAGTTAAAATTGGATAATATTCTTCCACGTTAAAGAAGTCAACGCAATATTCTTTTGCGAAGTACCTTCGATCATTCTTTCCTGATCCACCTTCATTATAAGAAAGATCCCAGGTTGAGGATTTTCAAGACTATGCTGGCTGTTTTCGAGAATCACTTCATAAAGTTCTAATGCTCTGAGAAATTTCATTGCTCAAAACATTTAAACGCTTTTCTTTATCATCTTTTCAAGAAAATTAATTTCGTAAGTTTAAATAGATTTGCGTGGATTGACAAAAAAAGAAGAGTTGCATTACCTTTAATTAAAACATTCATCACCTATATAGATGATTAAAACCTTCATTAACGAGTTGTTTAAAGTATTAAGATTAGCAAATTCATCGCCAACATATTTTTGAACTAAGATTTAGTGCTATTTTCGATAAGTACATCTAATACAGTTTGATTTCTTAAAGTGAAGAGCATTTACCAATGCGTTTCTCCCTATGGTTCAAAATCACTATTCAAATCTTCAAATTCTGTTTTCCAAACTAAGATCTGTTCAAAGCCAGTTGATTACATGAAAGACTTAAAGAAGTCAGCGTAGTGTTCTTGCAAATTGCAACCATTAATGCTTTTCCTCCTTTAGATCCAAGGTGATTAGAGATATTCAAAGAAGTTAGCGTAGTGTTCAGAACCAATTTTATTTGAAAAATTTGGAGTGCTTCGGCTCAGATCGAGTTAATTATCTATAATATTTAAAGTTGTTAATGCTGTAATGAGCGTTTCGTAATCTAATATTAAAACGCCTGAATTTTTATTTATAGTATAATAGTGATCACATGTAGGGCAAAACAGCCCTTAAAAACAGCTAACCACAGAAATCACCTTTATCAGCACCAGGAAATCCCGAAAATGTAGAAGTTACGGAATTTTGCACATTTGTATTTTTAAAATTTTAACAGTTATTAATATTTCGATTATACGTATTTTATGAAATTAGGTGTTACGTGATATAACGTGATATTGGTTTGCATTCTGAATTGTCAATTTTAAAGATCTACAAAAAATATCATAATGACCACAAAACCTTATTTTCATGCCTCCTTATAAACCGTGAATGGTATAGTACTATTGTGCCCATATTATGGAACGAACCCGACTTTAGCAGTCCCAAGATTGTCAAGACTTTGATTTTGGGTTTGTATGAAGAAGAAAAAGTGTTTAATACCTGAGAGTATTATCACTCAAAATAATTCAAAACCATTATTCGATTATTCAATTTATATTACAACAGTTTCTGGCAATCTAATTGAAGGATTTAAAAAAGAGGCGTTTATTTCCTCCATTATGACTTCATTGGTTATGATATTTCTACGAGCGGGCAGTAAGTTTAAAAAGAAAGTATTTTTAGGTGAGCTTAATCAAAAAAACACTAATTTCTTTGAATCTTTTATTTCTTCGTAGAAGAAAAAAGCATTAGCAAATATGTTTATTAAAAACACCACATTAACTTCTTTATGTCTTTCAAATAATTTGCTCTGCAAAACAGGAGGAAAGGTGTTTGCAAGAGTTCTTATTGAAAACAGAACTTTAACTTCATTGGCGCATGCTTTTCTCAAAAATAAATATTTAACTTTTTTGGATATTTCAAAAGATCAAGTTGGTTCCGAAGGTTTGGGCCGTCATTCGATTCTAGATTTAGGTAAAAGTAGATGCTCTTTTGATATTTGATATTTCTGATGCCAAGGGTGAAGTTCAGAAAGGTGTTTATTGAGATGGCACAATATTTCGACTAGTGTTGCTAATAATATAATCAGGTTAGACCTGATTTTGCAAATTTGCAAATTTCAAATAAGTTGTATTTTATTTATATCATCTGATATTTTATATACTTCATTGTCAAATAAAACAAATAACAGCAAAATTATATAATAGATATTTATTTCTTATTTATCTCGTTGAGACAGAAAAAGCTCTTTTATTAAGTGTTTCGTTTGTTGTTTTCGCATCACTTAACAGCAGAAGCTTTATATAACAGTTTATCACAAAAAAAAAAAAAACTGCAAAAGTCGAATCCACCGTCAAAAGTCAAAAATCAAGCATGCTATTTTTCATATAAGCGAATAAAGTCAAAACTAGTCATCATATGAAATCTTCAAATTCACCTAACAATAAATGAAACGAAGCGAAATCCCAAATTTCCTGACGAAAACGAAATGCTAGATCTGACGAAACCCTATAATTATTAAACCTATGTTATCAAAATGAAGTCTTGAATTTGTAGCTGTTAGAAACTGTAGTATCATGTATTGTATATTTGTATATTTATGTAATAAATCCATTATTTGAGACCTATTAAAGTTAATCTATTGCTATCAATGATAAGCATCAGTCTATGGCTATTGAACGCAGTGAAAATATATATGAGTGTGACTAAAGAGAAATTTAATTGGCGATGT